ATTCAAAAGGTGGAAGTTTTTAAATTACTAACTCACTAAAATCCTGTGATTAAGCTGGAAACCATGGTTTTAATTAGTTAGGTTACATGTCACAAATTTAGAGGCTTTGATAAGGATTTTTTTTTTTTTTAGTATTTCCCCATGAATGACAAGAAACTGCTGATTACTAGATTCTTGGACCTTGACAATTGTTTTTATTAATTGATTATACTCCCTATGAATGTGTAGCTACAATGTTTATTGACTGATCTTTTCCTACTTAAAAACAGGTTTATTTTGGGGGCTGGAGAGATGGCTTAGCGGTTAAGAACACTGGTTGTTCTTGCAGAAGACCTGGGTTTGAATCCCAGCATACACTGGCAGCTAACAACTGTCCACGACTCCAGTCCCAGGGGATCTGACAGCCTCTTCTGACCTTCCTGGGCATTGCACAACATGGGTGCACTTACCTACATGCAGGCAATACATGCATACACATAAAATAAAAATAATAAATAAAAATTTTTAAAAAGTTTTTTAAAAAATTTATTTTTTATTTTATGTGTATGAATGCTTGCCTGCATTAGGTATGTGTACTACTTGTGACCCCAGAGGCCAGAAGATGGCATTAGATCCCTTGGAACTGGAGTTGTAGGCTGTTGTGAGCAGCAATCTCGTTGCTGCAAACTGAATTTGCACCCTCTGCAAGAGCAGCAAGTGCTTTTAACTGTGGAATCATTTTTCCAGACCCCGTACTTTAAGAAAGTATTTTAAAAACATTTTTACTTATGTGTATGTGAGTGTATGTGTGTATGTGAGTATATGCCTACATGTGTTCAGGTGCCTGTGGAGGCCAAAAGGAATCAGATCCCCTGGAGCTGGAGTTACAGGTGGTTATGAGCCACCTTAATTAGGTGGTGGGCACTGAACTCAAGTCATCTAAAAGAGCAGCAAGTGCTGTTAACTACAAAGTCTTCTGCCCAGCCCATCATTTTCTACCTTTTACTGGCAGCTAAGCAATTTATTGAATAGTGTATGTATTCCCTAATATACAAATACATGATGCCCATCTTATTTCTTACTCAGAGAAGCCCTACAGTTTTTATAGCCAAATAATTTCTTATAATTTTATTTAAATTTTGAGAGAGAGAGAGAGAGAGAGAGAGAGAGAGAGAGAGAGAGAGAGATATTCTGGATGTGTGTGGTGGCAAAGTGTAGTAAATGTGGTAGTCAAGGGACAACTTTCAGGACTTGGTTCTCTTCTTCTTCTTCTCCAGTGGGTTCTGGGGATCAAACTCGGGTCCTCGGGGTTTGTATACCAAGAGCAGCTGAGCCATCTCAATGACTGTAGTGAGTGCATTTACATAGCCCTCTCCTAAAATGTATAGAAAAATAATATCTAGGCATGAAAATAATGCAAATTTGTGTTTTTTTAACTTAGAAATTTATTTATTATTTTTATTTTATGTGTATGGGTGTATTGCCTGCATATATGTAAGTGAGCCCATGTCCTGCAATGCCCACGGAGGTCAGAAGAGGGCATTGGATACCCTGGAACAGGAATTACGGATGGTGGTTAGCTGTCTTGTGGGTGCTGGGTTTTGAACCTGACTCTTCTGCAAGAGCAGCCAGTGCTCTTAACCATTGAGTCATGTCTCCAGCCCCCAAACTAGTGTTTTTATCTTCATCTTACATCCTTTGCTCTAATAGTTTAACTTCTGATATGAATACAAACATTAGAGCAAGTGATTAAGGCCTTGAATAAAACTTGAGGATAACTGATCAGTTTGGTCACACAGCTCAGGACTAATCGCACCTATGCAACTTAAGTTTATATGATTAAAAATAAAGCTCACAGAAATAAATTCTTTCAACAAGCATGTGTAGACCAATGCCTGCTATTTTCTGACATACTGAAAGTTTGCTTTTCAGAAGTTAAATTGTCTTCAAAGTCTTTGCATTGCATACCATACTATAGTAACACAAAATAAGTTTACCTATATAAGTAGTCTCTTTCAGACAAAAAAAGGTAAGCATTTTGTCAAGAGCACAGGGAGATGTGTATATATATATATTATTTCTAATAGGCTTCTTAGACACATTGCAAATTGTCATTTCAATCAATACATATTTATAGCTCTCCAGGGTCTCTGGCCAAATCATGCTTTTTGCTTCTGTTTCTCCTCCTCCTCTTCCCTCCCTCCTTCCCCCCTCCCTTTCCCCCTCCTCCTCCCTCTCCCCTTCCCTCTCCTTCTTCTTCTTCTGGTCCTATTTTCAACTTCAAGCAATCCTCTGTACACTCCCGTAGCTGGTGATGTACCACCTGTTTAGCAAGCATTTTACAAGCCTCACACTGCCTCCCCAGCAAGTATGCTACTTACCCTTCAACATCTATCCTGCTTCCTCTGTTAGAAAACGCACCCTTGTGAGGGATGTCTGAAATGCTGTTTTTTTCCTGCCTCCCCTGAAGGTCTGTGTGGCCACGTAACTAGATTCTTAGTTGACGGGAAAACAGTGGAAAGAGTGGGCACAGCACCGTGAAATGTGTTTACGCCATGTCTCTCTTTATACTTAGTTTTGCTTTTGGATCTACAGAATGTGTGTGAGCAGCCATTTTGCATTATGAGGTCAAAGTTACCTCTTTGGGAATGGAATATAATTTGTCCTGATGATCACACTGTTCCGGCTCTTGGCTACTTATGTGAGACAACTACATTCCCATCCCTCATCAGACATTGGTTCAAATTTTCTGTCATTTGTAGCTAAGTCTAACCCAAATTTATACACAATCAAATATTTGCTGATGCATTTCCCTGTGCTCTTGACAAAATGTTCACCTCTTTTGTTTCTGAAAGAAACTACATATATAGGTAACCTTATAATAATATTTTGTGTTAATATAGTGTATGCAAAGACTCAGAAGACTCTCTCAGGCATCACAGTTGTCATTACACCTGGTCTGTACCACCCATTCTTTCCTATTCAAAGCCATGCTAAGCAGCGAGGAGAAGAGCATGCTACATTAAATAACACCTGAGGGTCATGCGAAGCATTACATTTAGAACTTGAAGTTCAGGAGAAGGAGGGTTAAAGAAGCTAGGAATCTGTTCTATTCCCAGTAGCTTTTGTTTATTAAGACATTCTAGGTAAGATTTCAAAGTTAACTCCCAAGATAATTAGACAAAAGCTAGGCCAGATGTCTAAGCTAAAGTTTTGGTCTCAAAATAATTACCTTTGTTAATTACCAGTAATTAGTGTCAGCATCTGAAACTTTCCTAAAAACCAGGGGAGAGAAAAGGAGGAAAGCAGGGAGAGGAAAGGGGAAAGGGAAGGGAGGGAGGGGAAGAGAGGGAGGGAGGGAGGGAGAAGAGAGGGAGGGAGGGGAAGAAGAGACAGAGAGCAGACGTGCTTTTCAATACAAACACATCATTAGGTCAATAAATCTTGATTCCGTTTTTTAGGATTATGAACACAGTTTTATGAAAAACTGTTTCCTTCCACTTAACACAGGCATCACCTGCTTTTACATAGCCTTACTTGGAAGTTTCATAACATATTTTCATATTTTTCTATACTTTTTTCATTGTTAAAATGTTAACTTTTTTCTATCTTA